AGATGCTTACAGTACATGGGACTTTCTGGTCAGCACACAAACATTTCTGAAAGAGGACAGAATTTCTGTCAGCGGCACTATGTTGAAGATTTATAAATTTTGCTGTTCGGCAAATGTTAATTTCTTGAGCATATAAGAAAAACCTGTAGTATGTGGACTATATACCATAGCTAATACAATGGGTTGAAGTCATGTTTGTAGTTGACAAGAAGTTAATTTTTCAAACAATAAAAGAATATTGATATTGATTGAAAATGATATTGATTTTGGAAAGTTTTATGTGGAGGGGATCGAGGAATATACTATGCATAATAAAGGTGTTACAAATAGTACATTTTGTTGGAATATTCTACAGAGAGAAAGTTCAAACACAGAGATCCCATCCACTCTCTGCTTGGAGTGGCCTGTAAGTAACTCAACATGGCTGTCCTGATTAGAGCAAAACCTCATCCATCTCATAATTGATGGTTTAATATTTCCCCAAATTTGGTTTAATATTTCCCCAAATTGGGTCCAATGTTCCCTGCCCTGCTGTCCACCCACCACACACATGGAATGCTAACACGTCGTGTCCCCTTTACACATGTTCCAGATTCTTCTAATCTCTCAGGAACTTTCACTCTTACTCTTACTGGTCTTAGAAACAGGGCTTCCATTTTCATGCAGACCATCAACAACCCAGTCAGAAAGAAGAACTGGCAATAAAAATGGGTCTGGAATATATATATATATCATACATGTACATGCAGGGCCCAAAATTCTGTACTTATTTTTCTGCAGCAGTGCAGATAACATTGAAAATTGCCAAGGGCTGCTCATCCCCGGAGCCTAATGAGGGGGGAGGGGGTCTGTGGAAAAATTTTGGTCTTGGAGCTGAGGAGCTAGCCTGTAACAGTCTGGCAACCAGGCTAATTCCAGAATTCTGTCTGTCTCCAAAGAATGGGAATGGTAAAACTACATGTAATATAAAGTTATTTTCACAACAGCCCCTGTGGCCTGATATCTATCACCAGCCACACATACCAGGCCTACCCTCTGGTGGAGAAACCATGACCCTTGGTCTGTAGGTCTTACACTGTGTGTTTACCTTGCTACGTCTGTGCTTATTAAAGGTCTCCAGGACATTTCACAAAGTAAATGGCATCCAGGCCACTTCTATACATATAGTAATACTAAGGCACTAAGGAGCCAACGGTTCAGTTATCATTCAATGAAATAGAATCATTTTTTTGTCAATAGGTCAAGACCTTTAGAACCACATATACCAAGTTTCATGACAATCCATCTAAAGCTTCTTAAGTTATCATGCTAAACCACATACACACATATCAATACTACCAGAAGCATAATGTTCTTGGAGAAAAGGTAATATTAAGGTAATACTTGATATTATGTAACAAGAGTTCCACGATCTCATACCTTCGCCAAAAAATGTTAACCCTTGCGGGTGACGAAGTCTACAATTTTAATCATTGATTTTGTAAATAAGAGCCTCATTTGCATGGATTATATCAGTTGATCATATTCTCCATCCAATGACAGCCTTATCATAACAAAAAGGCTATTATAGCACTTCCTCATAAATTATGCAAATGAGGTCATGATTTGAATAAATTATGTTTATTGATGTTCACCTTCACTTAACTTCCAAATGTGGCAAGTATGAAATTCGGGGTGCAGCAGTTACAACTATGGAATTATAAGAATTTGCCATTAATTATTCAAATTAGGTCCTCATTTACATAATCTATATCCTCAGATGTTTTCTCGTTCTCAAGTAGATGTCACAACTGTTTCATAGTTCTATTATCGAACAAATCAGATTTATAGAATTTCCTCATTAATTATGCAAATTAGCTCTTGATTTGCATAATTGCCATCTGATTATGTCAAGCATTACTTCAACTACCTACATACCAAAAATCACGACAATACGTCAACCGGTTCTTGAGTTATCGTCCTTCAATTTTTTTTCAACAAATGCTCCTGCAGTTCTAGAACAAGGCGCTAGGGGACCCAAACTCATGTCACTTCTTCCCTACCCCAAGGGCTATCTACCAACCAAAATTCGTGACCCTAGCATGTACAGAACATGAGATATCAAAACCGGAAGTTCAGCTGCAGTACCTAGGAAAGCCGCCAGGGGGCCCAAAATCTAATCATTTCTAGGTCTCATGAAGTCATACCCACCTACCAAGTTTCATTCCAATCCATCCACTGCTTCTCGAGTTATCATGCTAAACCACATACACACACAAACACAACCACAGCATAATGTTCTTGGAGAAAAGGTAATATTAAGGTAATACCTGACATTATGTAATAATTATGTAATGACATTAGGTAATACTTGACATTATGATGATATCTTGTTGTATGTAGAATTCTTCATCAGCATATTGCCACAGTATTCTTAAAACGGCCAGCGCTTTCTCAAAAAGAGTAGGTGGCTGAAATAAAAAACAATAGCAGGCGAGCCACGCGGGGCCGGGTACAGGGGGGGGGATGGCCCCCCTCCTACTGGGGGGTCCTGGGGGCCTCCCACAGAGAAAATTGTAAAAATTAGACCCCTATTGCTCTAAACATCATTTTTGGTACATTCTAAGCAACCTTTATGGCCATCTTTTAATTAAAAAATTTAATGTTGATGCACAAATAATTCTGAAAAAAGGCTGAATTAAAATCATGTTTGCCACTCAGATTGTATTACGCGCAGCCATAACAATGCAGAAAAATAATGAAGGCATATTTACATGTATCCACATAAACTTTTGTGAGTAACGAGTTCACGAAGCAAGTTGATCCGCCAATCTAGGGTGATACAGCACCGTGGATGTAACTCGAACCCCAAACCAGACCCTCCCCAGGCCCCCGTGAAGATACCGCCACTCTAGCCACTCGTAGAAGCAAACGCTGCCGTATGCACTAGAAATCTGCACTGGACTAAAAAACCGCAGTTTTCAAGCCAGACAGCTAGGAGAAAATTTTGTCTGAAGTTTGTCAAAAGAAATGAGCCAGTGGAGTTTGTAAGTAAATGTAACATTGACTTCAATGTTTTTCTTAAAATTTACTCGAAAGTAGGCGGCGCAAAAATTTGAGTAACTTAGTAAGCTGTAATTTTCGCCGGATGCCGGCTTATTTTGAGAAGGCTGCGGCCACCCTAATGAGCTGGGTTATACCTTGGGTTGTTTTGCTTTCTGTTGCAGTATATCTTAAGTGTTTTCATTCCTGGCCAACCTGACATTTCACAAGTCTTTATCAGCAGACTGTGGTGGTGCAGAGGAAACCCAGTACACATGTTATCATCCTGCCTTGTACATGGTCTGACATGCTCAACATTCTCTGACCCTTACAGAGAGTCTGTATGGCTTTTTCTGTGGGGGATAGCAAGCCATTTTAATTCACTGTTAATTGTAGCCGGCCGCAAAAAAGAACAGCAATTGACTGCTGAGCATTGCCGGCCTTCCTGAATTTACTGTTAGGCATTGTCAGACTCAGCCCTCTAATGTTAAGCATTGTCGGGATCCCCCCATGCAGATCCTCCTTACAGTCATACCTCCTCATCCTGCTAACAAATCTAGTCTGCTCCAAATAGATCCCAATGTTTGCAATCAAATGTTGACATGGGCTGTGCAGCTCTACATGTACATACCTTCGTGAGGTCAGTCACCATCAGTGAATTACAAGCTGGATGCTGATGGCAATGTTACATTACCTGTATGGTGCACCTTACTTATAAGTTATAGTACAACTTATACAGGAGACATTTGACCATGGATCATTTGTTTATACTATCAGTTATATTTTTTAATAAAGAAATTTTAAGTAAGCTCCAAACTCATGGGTTTACAATTGGCATTAGGCAGTTAGCCTACATGTTATTACAATGCTCATGTATAATTAAGCATATTATTAGGGGGATACTTGAGAAGACCAAAAACAGAATTAGATAGCCCTTTCATTTAACCCTGTTTATTTGTTCATTGGGTCTTATATGGATACATTTTGCCCTTTGTCAATCTTTCCCTGAGTACAGGCTTAAGCCAAGAGGCAAAGACATAGCTGACAAACAAGGGATGGAAACTGACTCAAAAGCATAATAGTCTCTTTTATTACTGTCAGTAGTAAAAGAGACTATTATGCTTTAATTTACTGTCCTGTTTTTTAATGACAGTTGTGTTTGCTGCAGGTAAAAAAAGGTAAAGACTATGTTCATCTGCCTTAGCAACAGGTTTAAGTTCAGTGCTGAACTGTTCTGTGAATGGGCCGTCAGCTAAAAATGCAGTGACTACTGACTTCCCTGGCAAGGTTGAATAGAAATCCAGTGCTACCGGAAAACTACATGTAGGCGCTAAAAGCCAAGCCAAAGAAGAAAGATACTATTCCCTTTAGTTAGGACCTGTCAAATGTACTCGTGCTAGTCGTAGCTAGCTCTTCTCTTGATTACAGTATAGCCAACCAGGGTAAAGTCCGATGGTCAAGATTCATGATAATAAAAATCCAGAAAGAGTCCCCGCACTGATCTAAACTATAGTACAAATATATACTTGATACTAAACAGTACTTTGATCTTTATTGATGTTTTTTGTTTATGTTGCAAAACCCACTGCCCCATATCCTGCTTGGGAAATGACTGGTTCCCACTTTGTTAAAATCATTAGAACTTCAGAATATCAAATGGACAAGGTAAAAACAACTTAAAAGTTCATTTCAAGTTCATGAGATAGGTAAACCAACATGACACTGTAAAGAAAATCATAATTTTTTTTTTCTGCCAAGTTTTTTTTTAATGAACTTTAGACATGCGCGCGCACATGACAACTTGTTGACAACGGTCCTCACTTGGCTAGGTGTGTAGGGAAAAGACTTCTCCACGAAAAACAAGTGAACAAAAGCCCCCTTCAGACACCAGATTGTAGTTCTTGGCCGAACTCCTGAACTTTTTATCTCTTCGCGATGCTGAAAGGGGGTGGGGGGCGTGATTGTTTTTCCAAACTTACCCCGACGATCCTTTTCATCGCTTCCAGCTTCAGGTTATCCTTGTTGCTGTCCAGCATTTGCTTCAGGTCATCATGCCTGTATACGTCGAGAAAACAACAAATATCTCAGCAAACGGCGACATGATTAGGAAGTAAACAAGAACGGGAAAACAGACCAATCCGGAACTAGCATGTCTCCTCCTAAGCTGAACCTACTTCTTGTAATCCGCCGAGAAGAAGCCACCGGTGGGCTCGGTGCCCATGTCCGGCTCGCCCGTGGAGCCCGCCCGGCTGTCGTTCTGGGCGTTGTACGACCCTCCGCCGTTCGACATCTTCAGGTCTACCAAACCGAGAGGCGGGAGGTCAGGAAAACGGCAGGGAAAACTTGCGAACTGTGGTGTATCTTGGACACCTCAGTGGCAGCAGAATCAGGAACCAAGATGGTGGCGAGCAGATGGAGGTCATGTGACACGTATGCAAATGAGTAATGGGCCACGTTGGCGGTCAGAGGTTATCAGCTGGTACCATTCATCCAGAGTTATAGGGGATGCTGATTTTTTAAATACTTTCTATATCCATTTCATTGATATTGCAATCGCTTTATTACCTTTCTTCGTTATGTAGTACACGTAAATAGTGACTCTTTTATATCTTGTACATCTAGATTCTCAACAACTTATCAAGTATGGTCAGTACTGAAATCCCCTCCTTCTAAAGAACTAGTCCATTCGGGAAGCTTCTTGCTCGGGCAGAGATTCATTGACATTTCCATCATGCCCAAGTTCGATTTGTGACGGCAGGGTCAGCCTCCGGCGTCCCCGATAATCTAAGTCACGTTTCCGTGCAGGTGGGCACTGTCGGCCCTTCTTGTCGCCGGTGCGCCATGGAGGTGTTCTTCGGCGCCGCCGTCTTGGTGCTGTGCTACGTCTTCCTCCGTCTTCTCAACCTTAGCAACGGGCCGGCTCCTCCCACCCTGTACTACCGCCCCTCCGACCTGAACCAGTTCCTGCTGCAGTCCGTGCCGCTTCTCACCTTAAGGTAAATATGACATCACCCCGAACTCTTTGCCATATGTCTTACTGTACTTTCTCCGATGAAAAGAAAAAATTCAGATTCTTCCATACTGTCTGCTGCAGCAAGACTGCAAATTGAGGCCAAACTTAGATCCTTGACTGAGTCACCTCCGATATATGCATATTTAAACCCACACTGTAAGGGGACCTAACGTTACAGACATGTGGCAACTGCCTATCTATATGATACTAAGCAGGATATGTGTATGTAATAGATAAGGTTATTCAATGGCATTCTTTGGGGCAAGAATATCGGCTACTTAAGCCTCTGAAAGTCATCAATGAAGCCTTTCGAAATCCAGGAAGTAATAGTTGCCTAGCAGTAGCAGATGGATATGGTCAGTAAGGCATACATTTCAGCATGGAGTTAAAATGACCTCCTTGATTTCAGAATGTGAATGCATCTTTTGCTCAAATCATATTTCTGCACTGTGCAAACTAACCCAGGCCGGGGGCATGTTAGAATTTTACCAAAATTTTACATCATTATTCATAACTGCACACACACCTTATATAAGGATTGTAACATCACATGTATGTTTGTTATTACATATTTGACAAGATGAATCATTTGTCGTCCCCATTAGAAGCATATTTCCTGTAATGGTATACTACCATTAATGTATCAGTGACACCCATAGTTGTATCCTTTCTCACATGGTGATTTATCACTGTTACTATGTGTACATTTGGCATTATGTGTTGATCCAACAAATCTCACACAAACATACATACGGATCATGTGTTAATGGATGTGTTTCTATTTGTTTATGTAGGACCTTGTTGTTAGATATCAGTTTTGTGTTTTAGCAGCAACTGCTGTGATATCTTGTCAACGTTATTCAATTATATATTCATAAGTGTATCCGGTAATTTTTGGGAAGTATTGATTGAATGCAATGAAGCAGGCATCGTGCCATGCCGAGAGGAGACGTTGAATTTTTAATGACCTATCTGTGAATGTTATGACAGCATAAAGGTGCATGATTATCCCACTCCCAGGATTGATTCACGTTCTGAAGGACATTCATTTGTATCTCTTACTTTAGTAGTTACTTGTATCCCTCATAATCACTTACATGCTTACTAGTATGCACTTTCCTCACCTGGTATACAAAGAATGCAATACCGTGCAGTATGTCTCACATAATCATATTTGCATGGATGATTTGTTGCATTGTTGTCACTTCATTCAACTTCAAGAGGTCATATATTGCTGCAGCCTCTGTTTTTCTGCTTTGACACTACATGTTATATCCCCTCTGGCAAGCCATAAGTTACTGCTACACAGTATATCTACTTGTTAAGTTAGTTTTAACAGACACCAATGAATAAGGATCAAAAGCAATTCAAAGCAAAAAGTCAGGGCTTGAAATTCATTTTTGGGAATAGGTGCACTGATGCACCCAACCTAAAAAATTGTGTGCAACAAAAAAATCTACTGTGCACATAAGATGATATGTTTCATTTCTGAAAGAAAAGTGCTATAACAATGATTTTATTATTTCTATGCCACTCAGCTGTTAAGAATATGCTGTATACTGATAATCTGATATACATTTAACATCTTTACAAAAATATTTGGGTGCACTGAGGCACCCACAGAAAAAATTGGGTGCATAGCTCCAGCTTTGGGTGCACTAAGGTGCACATACACTCAGTGGAAAAATGTAGAGAAAGTCTGCTATTGACTTTTCTGTCAATGAATATGAAGGAAGGTTGACGTTGCCACCAAGCACAGTTGGGGCATCATCACTAGAAAGCTTTAAACAACTCCTGCAATCAAATGTGCAAAGATCGAGTGTAACAAGTTGTTTGGTGTGATATAGCTAGCTGCCGCCGCGCCGCGTGCCTGCGAAGCTGGTGTGTTATGCTGAAGGGCAGTTATACCGGCTATACCGATACAGATATAGTATAGATTATACTTGCTAATTAATATAATATAAAGGCAGCAAGACTCTATTTTAGCTTCAAAGCTGGGAAGGAAAGTCTTCCAGCATGCTAGTATTGCTAGGGTCCAATTTATTACTGTTGGAAATGGCACATTGTATTTGAGAATCTGTTGAATTGGAGCTTGAGTACAAAATTATCGGTAGCAAGGCTCAAGTCAAAATCCTTTTTTTTTTCAGCATACCTGCACTGTGCTAACATAAAACATGACCTGCACAAGACAAATTTTGCCTTCATCAATCAGAATTTAGAAAGAATGGATCAAACTAAAAACTGTCAGAAACTATTGATGTTATATCTCGTGTACCTCATATGACAGTCACTGTCAATTGTCAATGCAGCTAACAAAAATCCACATACACCTTCATTTGTATATAGACCCTGAGTACATGGACTGGTGCAGGTTAGGTACATTTAAGTACCAGAAATACCTGCACAGCTCCAATTTCACCTGCACTAACCTTATTTGCATGTAGTATTTAATTTCAAGCCCTGCAGCATACCAGGTTCCTATTAATTATACTTGGAAATAGGTGTTTGAGCTTGAGTACTAATAGTTAGCCAGAGTCCCATGAAATGGGGTTTTGATAGAACTTCTCCACAAATAGGTACCAGTTGACCTACTTTTGATGTGAATGCAATGCTTGTCGTGTCATATATCATTAGTTACTAGTGTTTTTTGGCATTCATACATATGCATTGTGTGCCCATTTGATTGTCAAGGAAAGACATGCAAGCGCTAAAGTTGTTTTTTTTATTGTTTGTTTACAGATATACTCCACCTATATTGTGGGGCAGAAATGGGCACCTCCAGTCAATAATCCACAGTTTATTTGGCCCCAGTCGCTCCAAAGAATCCCGTACAGGGGAATGCTTCTCAGTCCAGTTGGAAGATGGCTCTACCCTCACCTACACCCTGTACGACACGTCCAAGCCCCACCCTGCAGGAGACATCACCATCGTCGTCTGTCCCGGCTTCGGCAGCTCAAATCGTTCCAAGTACATCCAGGCGTTTGTCAGCCTGGTGAGCGACCATGGTTACAAGGTGGCTGTGCTTGACCACCTAGGGACCACGGACAATCCGCTGACGGCTCGGCGCATCTTTACCTATGGGGAGACCGGGGAGTTCAGGGCCATGGTGGACGACGTAATGAGGGAAAACCCGGCGACGCGCCTTATTGTCGTGGGGTTCAGCATGGGGGCCAACATCGTGTGTAAATACATGGCAGAGGGGCGGCCGCACAATGGCAACGTGATCTGCTGTGTTTCTGCAGGGCAGGGCTACGACGCCGTCCGGGGGAGCAATGTGCTGATGGAGTGGACCGGCTTCAGGAGAGCGTACAACTTCGCCATGGCGCAGGGGCTGAAGACCATCCTCCAGCGGCACAGCTACGTCCTCTTCCGGGGAAACAGCGACTTCAACCTCAGTGCCATCCAGTCGGCGACGTCACTGCAGGAAATCGACCTGGCCTACACCCTCCAGGCTGGTGGCTTCTCCAGTCTGCACAGCTACTACCGCCACTGCAGCTGCAAATTCACTATGCATAAGATAAGCGTGCCCACCCTCCTTGTAAATGCCCTTGATGACCCCCTAATTCCCGAAGATATGCTGGACGTCCCGTACAACTATGCAATGAGTCGAGACAACGCGATGTTTGTGCTCACTCGCCACGGAGGCCATCTTGGTTTCTACAGCGGCGGTTTCATCATTCCTGACTCGGAGACCTGGCTGCACAGGCTCCTGCTGCAGTACCTGGATGCAATGTCAAATCTGGCTATAGAGCAGTCCAAAGTTAATGCTAGCACAGAGAGTCTCTTGGACTCATCTCAAGTGTATGAAAACCCGTCTTTGTGTGCCTCCTCCAGTGTAGGGACGCCAATAGACTGATACCTCCCCTCCCCCCAGAAGTTTCGAAGACTACACTTGTATAGGGGGTTACTTTACCTTGGAAGCTAGACTGTTAACATAGACATGATTTACACGCGGGCAAAAACCTGACAGCACAAGCATACAAAAACTGCTCCTTTAAAGCAGGCTAATTTACATGCAGGAAAAATCTGCAGTCTGTGTGCTTACACAGTTTTTGTACGTCAGATTTTTGCTCATGTGTGTGAATTGGGTTTCATCATAGCACAGGTTAGCTCCTCGGCTGTCTAATTGCTAACAAGGTTTTCCCTGGGGGACAAGCAGATCTTCCTTGGCTGCCTGTTAGCCCAGGGACGGTCAAAGAGCTGGCCTGTATAAGCCCTGATAATCTGTCTTCCTGGGTTCTTGGCCATAGCCTGGGTACCATCCTACTTGTATGCCGGGGCTCCCATACTCGCTTCCCTAAGAAGTACTTCTTACCAGGCTATCTTGGCCACAGTAACTTCATGTTTTGTAACTGGCAGTTGCTCCCTTCAAGTATTTTAAGTGAGATGAAATTGGTCCATCTGCTAGCATTTGTTAGCTCAAACTACAGTAATTCTTGGTAGTACAAATGTACATACCAAGTATAATGTCCTTGGTAGTACAATGTAGTATTGTGAAATCTGCAGAAAGTTGCCGGGAATAAAGTCCTAACTTTGGTTTACTAGAGTAAAAGGTCTTTGGCAGTGTTTTCAGTCCTTAGTAGTTAGGAAGATGTACTGAACACTAGGGTAGGTAGGGGTGTTGTCATTGATATCAGTGTCTTGAAACAGTGTCATCATGCACGATCATCTGTTTGTAACACTGGCTGCCTTGTACTGTGCTACAAAACTGTTGTAGAATGTCAGAATCAAAATGACACGTCATGTGTTGAGGTATTGTTTGTATAATTCTGTTTGACAGACTTGCCCATTCCAGTATATATGATACAATTCTAGACTCCCAAATCCCAAATGTTCTGTCTTCCTTGTGGTGCTTATGCAAAAAGCACAGAATCATTTTTAACAATGTGGAAAAATAGCTGGGAATTGTGACAAAGTAAGCCATGCTCGCGCAAAGTGATGAAACAAGCTAGCAGTGTCTTCATTTTTAGCAACATGGTATAAAAAGACTGAGGAAAACAAAATGATCTTTAAACATTCTGCCCTTAGTGTAAATTGTGAAACTTTTGCAATGGTTTTATTTTGTGGTAGGAGGCAAAAGGAGGTTTTACAGTGTTTTAAATGCATGAGTCTAAGAATTCTATAAAATAGAACAGTACGCAGTCCTACTAGTATTAGGCAGTAGGGAGGCATATTCACTGTGTGTTATGAATTTGCAGTGGAGAGATCAAAGATAAAACCACCACAAAAAGTTTATGCATAATGTGCCCTGATGTTAAGAAAAACATGATTATATATCAAACTTGTTGATTAGTGACGTATCAAAATTAATGTGCATATTTTTTAGTCTTCCTTTGATTGAAAGTCCTCAATGATGATTTCATTATTTCTTGCTTGATTACATCATGGAGGTCTTTTAACTCCATGATTACATTATGTAATGTCACCCCTTGAGCATTTTGACAAAAACGTTTGTCGAGATGATGATGATGATCATGAGCATTTACCGGTATTAAAGTTTTTAAATGTTGTGTCAGAACAGATGTCTGGAGCAGGCAAAATTCTGATGCAATGCTGACTAATGTGAAAACCATTTTGGTTTTGCAGAGGCGCAGTACATTCTGCCTTCGTGCTATGTATGTAACATGATACAGATAACCTGTACACGTATGTATCAAATGTGGTATATTTGATACATGAAGGTACGTTGGAATATGTTTGCCAAGTTACATGTACAGATGTACTTCTCATTCTGGTTTTTCTCTTCTCACTAATAGTGAAAAGTTCAGGTAAGTATGTAAGAACAGTTGCTTTTGTGAATTTGTATGGCCTTACCAGTACACAAGATACTACTGATAGTGATGTCTGGCTGGATTTAACATGAATGAAAGAAAAACTCTTTGAAAGTTGACGAAGTACGGACGTCCGGCCACCACATTCAATGTTGGGTTGAACAGCTCCAGACATTTTCTAGATTCTTTCCCTGGAAAACACAGCCAAAGAACCTTGGAGATGATTCTTAAAATTGCTGGCAGGAAGCCTGTTCTCCCAGTACTAGTGGTGCTAATTGATAACTTGGTGAGTCTTTCTTAGTGAAACTTTGCTGTAGAAACAGTGAAGCTAAAGTGATGATATTTTGTTGTACATTTGGAGCTTTTGTACATCATGAATTGTGTGAGATTACTGGCTAAAATGTATTTGTACATTGTCTGGTCCTGCTCTGGACAAGAATTTCTGCTGGTAAAAAATTGTTTTCCAGCCCGGATGCGATATTTTTGTATTGTAGGAGAATGTCCTCTGTGCATTGTTTTATCAGATTGGTGTGTTACTACTGTATATTGAGTTCTTTGCGACACGACCCAAAGTTCTATCTTACACCTATATGGAAAAAATGTTATGACCAGATTGTTCCTGGCCAGGCGGCCGGCTTGAAGAGATGGCCTCTTTGGCAGTTTGGACTGTACTGACATGCAGCAAACATGATGATGATGATGAAGATAAATGAGGAGTTACAGCAGATACAGAACTTTGGTTGTATAGCAAAGAACAATACTATGCAGGAGAATATTCTGTGTGTATGTCTGTGTAATGTCAAGCGTGCTGTTTAAAGATATTTTTGTAACGTGTTTGACCCTAATTCTGTATTTTTGGTTTGTGTGTCAGGTACATTTGCAAATCAGTATCAAAGCAAAATAGCTGCCAAGTTCAGTTGGTACAACAGTACATGTATATAGATATATACATATTAGGACGAAAGATCATGTATAGATAGTCACATAGCCTGTGGCATTATTTTATTCTACAATTGTATGTAGAAATTGATATTCACGAATTCCATAATGTGTTACTTGTTCCAGTATTCTGATTTTTAGTAACCAAGTGTATATCTTGGTTCTTATGATAATTGATATGAATAATAGTTCTACTTGTTACAAAGTAGTTAATTAAGAGAATACATTGTATTATGATTATACAATATGTATAACAGCAAACAGTGACGTAAAAAATTATATTGTATGTTTTAATTATGACTAAATGATGCTAATTCAAAGTGTGTTGGTTTTTCCTAGTGAATTACAGTACCTGATGTGTTGGAATATGCATATGAAATCATGTGAGTTAGGAAGTGCTGTCTTGCCTTGTCCATCTGGTGGTTAGTAAATCCCCTGTCACATGTAACCAACTATGGCCTCCTGATCACTAGTACTGCTGAACTCCCCCAACCATGGTTAGGAGTAGGTTGGGAGCAAAGTCTGCTGTGGTTGGCTGGGGTTTGGCGAGGTCAGCTACTGTTCAGCAAAATGTTTCAAAATATTTTAATCATTCAGGAGTGGATGGCAGGTTGGGCCATCTTTGGGGACTGGTTGGCTGATGGTTGGGAGTAGGTCAGCAGTAGTTAGTCAGGGCATTGTTGGCAGTCAAATTTGACTCAAATTTGATTTGAATAGTATCAAAGGTAGACATGGCCTAAATCTGGTCAGACTTCTCCTAACCTATGTACCACCAACCTTGGCTGGTTAGTCGTTCTGAATGTGTGACAGCTTTAATTAAGGTACAGATGTACCAGTAGGCATTCTATGTTGTTGACCAGCAAAAATTCTATCAACATTCACAACAAGTTGTTTGTTATGATATACTGTACTTGTTAATGTGCACCTAGGATCAATGCATGCAGTGTAAGAAGAAGTAAATGCATTTTGGTTCATTTTATTTTTTAGCTGCATTTTACAATTTGGGTCTTTGGAAACACAGACCTGTCGATTTGGTTCAAAGATAATGTTTCTGATCTGCCTCAGGCATACCTAAATGTCTGTTATGAATATCTACTTCAGCATATTTGTCACCTGCAATGATTTGAAATTCATAAAACCTTTGGATGTGATCCATGGAAGTCATGCCTGATGACCACAATATAATTTTTATTATAGCTTTACTGCTTAGCAAAGTTAATCCATTCTGTGTGAGGTTGCAGTTACAGGTGCCCAAAGCAGTTTTAGGACTTGAAAACCAGAAAATAAAGGAATCATCTTGGGGCTTGTTTCTAGTTTTAGATACCCAAAGTATAAAGTAATGGAGCAGTATGTGTCAATGTCATACAGATTGCCTTATTCAGAATATTTCATTTTGAACTCCTGAAAATGCATTGGGTGCCTTAAACAATAATCCATGTGGGAAAACAGCAGGTTGAGAGCACTATGGGTTGAGTGCAAACATTTACTTTACCACAAACCACTGACAGAGCACTTTCCTGTCCATTTCAGGCAGTCTAAATAGGCAAGGCTAATACACTGTATGCTGCTTTGGGGTGATATGTTACATGCAAACAGCCCATAACACTTTAAAGACTTTGCTTTGCAAAGTGCTTGCAGGTTGGAGATAGGGGCTTTCAAATTGCAGCTATATATCAGTACCTAAAGTACAGTACTGTTACAGTAGTTACTCTTTCCTGTGTAATGTCTGAGCTACATGCTTCCCTTCAAAATGTACTAAATCTTTTCCTGCATTTCTGCAAAGGTCAAAGTGAACTTATCAGTACAACACAGCCTTGTAATGTTGGCTACTGTGAGAAGAATAAAGTTTGGTTGGCTTTCTACTATATTGCCTTGCATTCACTATGTACCGGTATCTATGGGGGTCTGCATGGGGAATCTTGCACGAAAACTAAGTACAACAATGTGTAAATTTCCTACCGGAAACCTGGTTGAACCAGGCAACCAGGAGCATCTACAGACCCAAAGGAAGCCCATTTAAACTATGACATCAGGCTACATGTATTGAGGCCCTTCCCCCAAACAATTCAAAATCCAGCTAACCAAGACAGCCCCACATACAGTCTGCCTGATAAAAATTATTCCCCACATCCACAGTGGGTGACCTGTTCTCCATCCTGCCACAGGTCTGAACTCTTCCCTCAGGGTTTGGACCTTTTCTCTGACCCTTGGCAAAACTTCCTAAACACTTTCCAGTCACCTACATCTACAAACAACATCAAATGCCCTATGGAATCAGCTCTAAGCATTTTTCAGTTCTTTTATATCCAACTTTGACTTGAAAACTTAATAAAACGTTTTCCAGACCCACCAGAGAGACTAGTGGGGTCATGTCTGCAATTTTATCATTCCTATCATGTACTAACAGGCCTGTAGACTTTACTCCCAAGATAAACGTCTACTTTGCAAAGATCTGGTACAGGAATTTTCTAATAGGTTTCCCATTTGGTTTTGACAGTTCCTCTAAACTCCATATGAACTTTGTAGTCACTACTTGTGACAGCAATTTCGATTATCAATCCTACATGTCTGGTATTTCGTTGACCTTAGGCCAGGCCAATTTACTTTCTTGGCTCTAAGATTCTCGATTTGAGGGGGGGGAATGACAAACACACAAACCCAGATTAGAAGACTCAGTCGACTGAAGACAGACATGATTCATATGTAGCCAATTCTCCCCCAGCCCAGCCGACCATGCCCTGACATAGCACTTCTTTTCAGGACTGAAAAAAGTCGAGCCATCTGGAGGTCAGTTCCTTTGAATCCAACTGACCTCAGGGGCACATACAATATATCATATCAAATACAGACCCTATTGGGGCCAGCTGTGCAGATTTTTGCAGACTGAGATAACAACCATCTCTGCAACAGTCATCATCTTTTCAGGAACCTAAGTGCTTCTAGATCTAAGTACTACCATTACCCCTTCATCTGTGTTTGAATGTCTTTCTAAGCATGCCAAAGGACTCCAGAAGTGACCTACAAGTGCAGATACCTCAAAAATTTACAAACCGCAAGCTGACACAAATGTAGTTCTGTCCAAGGCAGGATTTTAGTAAAATCATTTTAGTAAATTTTTTACTAGTGAAAGTACAATGTATTTGGATACCATATTAAACGGGAACCACAGAGCTTTCAGTACAATATACATGTTTAATACTGTCAATAAAACCAAATTTTGTCAGATTAATAATAATAATAATTGTGAATACAAAATAATTGAAGTGGTCTTCTTGTGAAGTACTTAGTACAGTATAACTTGTGAGTTTGTCGTAGTATAATTCCTTCATGACAAACATAACATTTGGCACCCAAATATAACATTTTCACACAACATCACAGCAGAAAGTACTCAATGTGGCCAGAAACAGTTGACTACAAACTTGGCTCCTTAGTAAGACAGACAGTGTCTGGTGTTGTTTTACAACATTGGTGCACTGGACATGAGAAGAACTGGATAGTAACAGTACTGTTTAATATTTCATTGTATACAAATATTGGCACTAATAAAAATTAAGAGTGCTGTGGTATAATGTCAAGATGTCCTCTGTGTTTTAAAGATAAAACATCAAGACAAAACTACATCACCTCAAAGATATTGTGTTAGTTGGCTACATTTCCACTCAACAACGTGGCATGCCTACAGGATCACAGTGCTTTTCACTAATGCTTTTTGCAGACTGACCGAACAAAACGGTTTTCAGCAGCTTCATAAATCAGACCACTTCTGTTGAGAATGTGCAACAGTACTGTAGTATTTGGGGCTTTTCAAGCCAGCTGTGCAAATGCTTTCCTTGTGAGAGAATGTTGTACAGGAAAAGCACTGTGACCCTGTGACATATCAAAAGCCATGACTTTTTACAGTTCACTATGTGTTAAAACATTCCACTTGACAATCAGAGAATCATCTGTGTATGTGCACACATAGGAAACAGAGTAACAAAAGTCAACGGTACATGACAGAGAAGTTGGTTGTTGGCAACATTTCAACCCTCTCTCACTTCCACAACCTAGCCCTTTGTTAAATATATACATGTATAGCTCCTTACTATCACACACAAAACATTCACATTATGTCATGGTCACTGCAAAAACTTTTTTGGCTGCTTGGGGGGAGACGGTACTGGCAACACTTTACCTCCCCCTGCATGGAAAAAGTCATTTGTGGGGGAGGAGGACCCAGGGAGTGGGTCTAACCTGGGGGGACCCCCTAGTGCCATCAGATTAGGTGCACTTTCGAACCTGGTCGGTCCGGTTTTCTCAGTCTTCTTTCTCTTAGTGGCCAGTGGATTCATTACCCCTACGTTTGGCCCCATAGCACTGAACACCTTGTTGTAATTTGTCTCCCTGTTCACCAGTTCTAGTTGGAAGTACCGCTTCTCCTCAATCAACTTCTTCATCTCAAGTTCACGGCTGCTCAGGGCTTCTCTCAAGTTCTTAATCATATCTATGTCTTCAGGACGGGACTCTCTCCTTTGGAATCTGTCCTCTGCTTCTTCTAGTTTGATCTGAAGGGCTGAAATTTTGTCTTTGAGAAGTTCCTGCGCCCGGTTGAAGTCTCCGAGCATGGACTGAGTCTCCCGCAGGTGCTCAGCCGTGAGGTTGTCAATGTCCATTTGATGTTGTTGTCTCAGTTCATTCTCCCTATGATACATGATTTGATTGGTTTCACTTCGCACACGCAGGATCTCTTGTCCTTTGACGTCGAGTTCTTTACGCAGGCTTTTGACGCTGGTGTCCAGGCCATGCATTTGCCGCTGCAGATTTTCCACATTGGAGGTCTTCTGCTGCAGATTCTCCTGCAGCTCAGAGATTTTCATATCGCTCTCCTGTTGCTGCCGCTGGCTGATCTGCATGGCGCGTTCCAGCTCCATCCGGGCGGCCTGCAGCTGGGCACGATGCCCGCGGTTCAACTCCTCCAGCTCCGCGGCATGCATGTGTGCAAGCTCCATTCGCAGATTGTCCATGTCTCGGCCTAGCATTTCCTTGACTTTGGAGACTTCTGTCTGCAGTGAGGCCTGTGCCTGTTCCCTCACCGACACCAGAGCCTGCTGATGCTGCTCCTGCTCGCTGGCCAGAGCAGATGCATGGGAGGCACTGAGGCTCTCCTGCAGAGCTTTCAGCTCTTCCTCCTTCTGCCTGGACAACTCTGAGGCCATGTTCTGATGCTCGGACTCCATGGCAGAAATTTTGTCCCGGTGTTGCTTGATGATGCTGTCCAGCTCCTTCTGGAGCCTGTCCTTCTCCTGATCTGCCCAGCGTTTTGTGGCATCCTTCTCAGCAGCTGACTGAGCAGTCATGGCCTCGTACTGTGTCTTATACTCTGTGAGTTGTCGGGTTAGGTCGTTCAGCTTTGACTGCCAGCTCTTGCGAGCTTCCTCCATCTCCTGCACACGTATGTCATTGACATGCTGCACGGCTGCTTTCCTCTCCTCTGTGTACTGCTGCTCGAGCTGGCGTTTTAGCTGTTCTTGGGCATTTTGCATTCTTCCGATCCAGCTATTCTCAAGTTCTGCTGCAGTAGATTTCAGCTGAGCCATGTGATCCTGATGAGCCCTGCTCAGGGCTGTCTGGTGCTCGTTTTTGGTGGCTTCCAGGTCTTTCCGTAGGTTTTCGATGGTCTGTTTGGCATTGTTCAGCTGCGAGCGAGCTCCAACAAGCTCCTCCTGCAACTTGGCGGATGTTTCTCTCAGCATGTTGATTTGAGACGTGGCAGTGCCCAGCCCACTCTGACTCTCCTCCACAAGCTTACGCAGCCTGTCGGCTTCCCTCTCCGAGAAACTGAGCTTACTGGAAAGGTCAGAGGTCAACTGATCTAACTCTGACTCTACAACACTCTTCTCCTGTGACAGCTTGCCAACTTCAAGACTCATCTTGTCCTGAAGATCTCTCTGCAAATTGCTCATTTCCTTCTCCCAATTTTCCCGAGCTGATGCCATGGCAGCAAGGTGTTGTCTCTCCAGCTCATTCATCTTGGCAGCATGCTCAGCAAGAAGTCTGTTCTGAAGCTCTTCTGCTTCCTTTTGAAGCCTCATCACTTCCTTGGCATGTTCTTCCCCAAGCTGTTGCTTCTCAAGGGACAGACTTTCCAGGGACTTTTCAAGAGATACTATCTGTGAGTTCTGTTTCTGGGCGGTTGTTTGGGTCTGGTCCTTGAGGCTGTTGCATTGTTCTTCCAGCCACTTTGACCGATCATTAGTCCTCTGCAACTCCTGTTGCAGCTCTCTGATTTTACTCTCATTTGTGACACGTAGTTCCTCCAGGGTACTGAGGAGAGAGGCTTTCTGGATCATGTCCTGCCCCTGACTCTCACACCTCTGTACAAGTGTGGCTACTTCGCCTTCCAGTTCCTTGACCTTACCTAGCATAGAAGCTGCCTCACCCCTGGCTGCATTCAGTTCCTCACTCAGCTTTGTGAGCTGTTTGTCCTTCCCTGTTAGCTGTGTTTTTGTCTGCCAGAGGTCATTGGCATGTTTCCTAATGTCCTCATCCCGGATGGCCACCTCTTGTGTGAGTTGGGACACCTTGTTGGTCAACTCTGCCATACGCTTGCTCATCTGAGATTTCAGCTGAACTTCGTTTTCCTGTGAACTTAAGTGGCTGTTTTGTGCTTCACTGAGCTGTCCCTGGAGAACCAGTAACTCTTTCTCAAAGAGGGCCTTCTGTTTGGAAATTTTGTCCTCGTACTCATGAGCCACTTGCCTGTTCTGGGCCTCAAGGTTTTCACAATCCTGCCTCAGCTTCAGGATCTGTTGCTCCAACTCTTGTTGGACTTTTTCCCTCTCTCCTGCCAGTTCGGAGGTCTGTGTTCGCTGCTTGTTCAATATTTCGTCCACTTGTCTCTGGTATACTGACCTCAGCTCCTGCAGAGAGGTTTCCTTATCTGCGATGGCTGCTTGCTGTTGTTGCTGGAAACTTTTCAGCTGTGCCTGGAACTCCTTCTGTGCTGTTTCCAGTTGCCTGGCCAGGTTTGCCAGTTGCAGGGAGTGTTCTGACCTCATCTGTCGCTCCTTTTCTTCACTGTTCTGCTTGAATATCTCAAACTCTGTGATGGCCTGGCGTTTTATTCTCTCGTGCTCGGAAATGGTGGACTCCAGGGACTCGATCTGACGGCGCATGTCCAGCTCGCTACCAATCTTGCTCCTGTAGAGCTCGATCTTGCCCTGCATCTCCCCCATGAGCTGCTGGAGCTCGTCCTTGTGTGCCTCTTTGATCCTGGACACTTCCAGCTCATGCTCGTCGTTCTTGGTGTTGAGGGCGTAGATGACTTTGGTCAGCTGGGCAATCTTCTTGGACATTTTCAAGTGCAGTTCCGGAGGAATGTCCCCACCGATCTGGCCGTTCTGGGCGGTGGGAACGTTCCCGTGGCGGGAGTTCGTGGTGTAATACTGCCACGACATCCCTGCTCCGCTCGCCATGACGGCACGAAGAAGTTGTGTTGTGTCCACTAAGCAGGCGGGTTCGTGGATGGGTGGGGGGTCGCAGGGAACGATCGGATATACAAACAAAATTCCGTCAACTCACAGCAACTTTTGTCCCGTGAAAGATGTCACCTGTCGCGACTTGAACGCCTTGTTAGCAGGTACATCGTCCATATTTGTCACTTCTGTGCGAGTCACTGTCCGGTGGGCAACTAATCCAGGTCGGTTGACTCAACGTGACCGGGAAATTGGCGAAATTAAATCCCGTTCGAGACGAAAATCACAAACTGTAAACTTTGCTTTCCGTCACCAAGGACAACTGCGCAGCGGTACTGCGCACCATCCTGATTGGTCCAAACGGTCGTTCTGGGTCATTGGACGAGTCCATAGGACAGTCTGAAAGTGTGAGGTTGATGAAAAACACTCTGTTTTGAAGTAAAACGTTTGCAGCTAGATTGATAGTATGGTATCTTTTGCATACCAGTAACATTATATATAATATAAAGAAAAATATGTAAAATTTTATTAATGTTTTACCGAAGATTTATCCAAAGCTTTGAAAATCAAAAGCCTGAATATCTGCGATACTTGGTTTCTCCTGTACATAACCCGTGACATCATCTCCACGTAGTCACGTGACGGTAGTTCTGTCCGCCATATTTCCTCATACATGGCCAAGAGTCGCTGAAAAATTGCCTGGTTTTCTGTTTTCAACCAACAAATACAGACTATTGAGCGCGAGCAACAGGTAACCGGGACCTCTGTGACACCAGCAAGATGTCGGACTACGACAGTAACCCGTTCGCGGACCCAGAGGCGGGCAATCCTTTCCAGGTGGGTCCATTTTTCTCACGTCGACATTTTTTCGCAGGAAGTCTTGCCTGCGTGCCGACTGTACTGACAGGTTTTCTGGGTGTCGTCTGTACTACGTGTCACCCTGCCTTCATTTTCCCCCTCTCGTCTTGCACATAATAGCACTGTCTATAAAAAATTAGCATGACCACCACTGGGAGTTGTGTATTATTCATGAATTTGGAGTTCAGTGTATGAAAAAATATACAAATCGATATGTTCGTATGTTTTCCATCTCCCTTGGAGGTTGAAATAAATTTATTTCATTATTAGATGGTCCAACATTTGAAGATCGGCATATGTTCACCTTTTCTCATTTAAGGTCTCAATGATCTATTTTGACGACGTTGATGAAGGAAATGTCCACATTTTCTAACTCAATATGTGCAGAAATATCAGATGGTTTGGTGTCTAACTCTAAGGGGATTAAACCAACTTCTTGTGTCTAGTTATCATTTATACTAGTATAGGGAGATTCCAGGTGTAAATAATCTGTCGACTTGGTGGAGATTTTCATATGATTATAGTTTCTATAACTGTTATTTCATAATTTTCCAATGTTTACTCACAAAGTGTCTTCATCTATTAAATGCAGAACCTTTTAGACCAAATATAGAAATCTCATTTTCATGAATAACAATTAATTTGTATGTGTAGATATCATTACAATAACAAAAGTTTCTGTGATTGGATCCATTATTGGCTTCATGACAATGAAAATGACAATATGTTTGTTGCACCCTTTTTAGCAAAGTATGTTTTTTTGACTGGAGGTGGTCAAACAAACAAACAAACAAGCCACTTGTCAAACAATGCAGGGAGGTGCAGCTAAATAAGGCTAAATGTATTTACTGCCTGTTTGGTGTCAAAAACAAATGAACCATTGTTTGCATCTTCCAATCAGGACATGAGGCTATATTTAGAACTGCGTCATGACTTATGACATGGAAGGTGTGTAACAACATAAGAAGGTGACTGTGAATGAATATCAGTAGCTTTTCAGGAAATGAGCCAGTCGTCACGGGACCACCGTATACATGTATAGAGAGTAAATATTTAACCAAGGATCTCCACAAACAGTACATTAGCTCCAGAAGCTAGTTTGTTGAGTTCCAGTCAGATTCCCGAAACACATCCTGTTCATTGTTGAAGGAAAAACGCTTAACCACATTTGAGTCTATGCTGCGGCTGCTGCCTATAACTAAGCTTATGAGTTGGATTGCATATTCCATGTAGAAAATTTGTCTTAAAAATGAGAAATGTGAGTGAAATGTATCCTGTTAACTCATATCTCAATTTTTTGGGCAAAACTTTTTTTTTTAAATTTGTTCATTTGACTCATTGATTAATGTGTTTTGACATATATTGATACAAATGTAAGACAGCACAGCTAGAGCAATTTTTTTGCTGACGTAGAAAAATAAAGAAAATCTTATATAACTGACTTATAACTACTGTATTACATAGAGCCACGCACACAGAGCTTGGTACTATCAGAGTCAAGTGCAAATCAGTGTGATTCACTGAGTATCAAATAATGTGGCAACAACACTCCATGCAGCTGCATTTCGATACTGTCCAAGCAGAGGTAGTTGAGAAAACCGGTGACTTTCTTATCATAATTCATCTGCCCCTTTTCTTTTTTGGTATAGAGGGTGGACCAAAAACAGGTCATAGGACAAGGAAGGTGCAATTTTCCCCCAAGAACCCTGCATGAAGAGTACATTTCGAGAGCATACAGTGATGCACAAAACATTTTGTACTTTACCAGACATACTCAAGATCTTCAGGTCAATATCTTGTGGTTGATCAATAGACCTTATCTGGAAACTTGATTGTTTCTCATTGAACTTAAATAGAAATCTGCCTTGACTGATATTTCCAAGACAAGAAGTGGGAAATGGAAATGGATACAGCCACTTACTAAAATCCACATAATATAAGTGACCATTGGGATATTACATGTATTTTATTTTATTCACATTTATTTTCCGAGGATGAGGCAAAAAGTTATAAAACTTATCTCAGCCCTCTCCTCACACATAAAAGGATACAATAAAACAAAGTAATAATAATAATAAGAAATGACAAGGGTACATAGTAGGCTGGTGTACAAATCAAAATGAATCAACTAAATCAAACAAAACGTCCTGTCTGCAAAATAAAGTTGAAAACCACATCAAATATGTTACAGTTGTTGACAAACGACAATGAGGGGTTACCCCTGAGAATGGTTGAACATAAAGTGTTGTCGGTGACGTTGTTTGTGTCAAATGGCAGAATGTTAGTTAGAGATGATAACATGTCAATGCGTTCGTCAGTGTACAGTGGGCAGTGTAGGAAGTAGTGTACAGCTGTTTCGTTGGAGTGACCACATTTGCACGCAGGACTGGGCACACATTTACATGTATATTACATTATATGCAGGTAAGTGCAGATAAACTTGAAGCTGTGCAGGTATTTCTGATATCGACCTGCATCTAATTTGCACTGGCCCAGGTAAAACATATGCAGACTACAACTTTGTATGTAGTTGGCTCTTGGCAGCATTTATGAGCTCTCGTTTTCTGAATATATGTATAAAGCGTGATGTATGATACTGTATATTGGTACATATGAAAATTGTGATTTGGCAGCGCAGCAACTGTGCATCTCTGTCTGAGCATGTCAATGCCTTGTTGAGCTAGATGATCCATGGACTGAAATTGCCTGTGCCATATTGTCTGACATGAACATTAGCATGGCTGGGCTCAAGATTCATATGACAGATTGATATGCAGGTTAGGTGCAGGTAGACATCAGATATGCCTGCACAGCTCTAATTTTATTTTTACCTGCTCTAACCTGCATGTGGTGCAGGTGGTATTTTGATCCCAGATGTTTGTACCATGGAGATTTCCTACCTACTAGTACCTTGGGGTCAGATTACTGCCAGGAACAATATGGACTCTGTCTCCCTGAAGTGGCTCTTGTCCACTGTGCCTTGATATTGTAAAAACACCTGATGAGGAGATAGTTCCTGTGAATCACACCCAGCACTGACATGTAAGATGATAAACAGAAATAATGACTTAGGGCAAAAGCCTTGGCTTGTTGCTGCAAAAGTGAAAATACATAATAAAGAGAACCAAATAAATGTTTAACATTTCTCTGATGATTTGCAACCTTATGTACATACAATGAATGGAGCTTATTATATTTGTTTATTTATTTCATCATAAGATGGCTGGGTAGCCCCATTCAGCTTACATTAGCTGTTTTCCAAGGGGGCCCAGCAAACATACACAAGACATTGTTACATACAGTAAGACAAGAGTAGACATCATACAGGAAACATAAAAGTCTGATGCGTCAAAACAGAGTCATAGTCCTATACTCAAAGTCCTAGCCGTTCAAAGGACTTGTAAGTTGTATGTTATTATGGTGTGTCCGTATTGGGCTCCTTGTACAAATTTATTGTTTCTTTAGCCTCTGCTAGACTCCCCTGGTTGCTGGAGAAATCAGTTCATAGAATTGGCCATAGTAATAGTATGCCAGATTAGGAGTTAGCAGGCCTGGGGAGAACAATTTGCAACTTGCTATAGGCTAGTTTTTGGTATCAAAGACTTCATGTCCTCTGAGCCTAATCTCAACTGATCAAAGAACTAGAATCAGGTCACTTCTGCTCTCCCATGTGAGCATCATGTGGGGTAATGGCCATCATAAATATGTATTTCAAGTGACCATAGCAGGGCTTGGAATCCTTTTTTCTGCATCACTGTGCTGGTGCAAGTTTTACCCACACATTCCATTAAATGTTGCTGCACAATTTTAAATGTCTGATGTAACTTGTACATAAGGAGTTACTGTTATTTACAATATAACTGTGAGCTGAATAAGTTGGAAAGATTCACAGTCTATAGCAAGATGCCTAGGCCTGTTTGTCTTTTATTTTCACTTGCCTGTTTCATTGATTTCGTATAATTAATCTGAGAACCAACAAATCACCTTAGCATGTCGTAACAAACCATATAACACTAACACTAGTAACAGCCCATCATTAACAGAAATATTCCCCCGACTGTTTCAGGACCCGTCAGTGACCCAGGTGACTGGTGCTGCCCAGCAAACCTTCACAGAGGAGTTCAACCCCTTTGCTGAGCAGGGTCGCACCACTGTGAGTAACTTAGCTTTTCTTGTTAAACTTCAGTCTATTCTTATTATTGCTGCTACATTTTCCAGATGTCGGCAGTTTGAAACCTGGCTGTTGTTGTTTACCAGACAGGCACGCTATTGGAAAAGGTTGTAATCCTTAGATTAGGACAGGACATCAAAGCGTGGTCACCTCTTCATGAGACCTAGGGGAATTTACTTGGTACAATGAACCTGTAAATACTGTACGTATTCTGTCTTTTCTGTCCCGACCAGCTGTCCAGTGAGCTAAACTGGATCAAGATTTCTTGCACAAATAATTTTTTTCTCACAACTGTATTCTTCCCCCTGCGTGTCCAGGCTGCTGCAGGAAAGACCAACCCTGTGGTTCCCCCTCCCCAGAAGCCCCAGCCGGCCCAGCAGCCAGCCGTCATGAGACCTACAGAAGAGCCCCCTGCCTACTCACCCAGTGCTGCACAGGTAAGGGCTGTTCAGTTTGCTTCCGTCCCTTAAAATTTAGATACACAATTGCAGGTTTGATATAAGTCAAAACCTGTATGTATACAGGCATCCACAGGGCATGTTGAAATTTGATGTCATGCAAGCACTATACTTTGTGGTCTACATCGTGACGTTACTCATTTTATTTTGGCAAAGCCTCAGGAGCAAGCTTAATAGTATGTCTATGTCTTTGTGAACATACTTTAAGAATTTTAGCTATTGTGCAGGACTTTCTGTAATGTGATTGTGCATGTGATTGTGAGGAAAACCACATCTATTTCATGGGAGTTTGTAATCTTTGAACCTTTGTTTTGTAATGATTTGGGGACAGTCTGATGTGACCTGCTGTATCTATCCCATTCCCCTGCAGCAAGCCCAAGGACCTGCAGTTCCCACCAATGAAGACCTTATCAAGCGACAAGAGGTAAGAGGTATAGTCAGCTTTTGGAAAAAAGCATTTAAGTACACAAAATACAAAGTAATTGTATATCACAACTGACGGTATTTACTGATAATTCAATGAGAATATTATAAGATTCTAACTAAGGATTCTACATTTTGTAACACTCTACACTATAGGAACTGGAAAGAAAAGCAGCAGAGTTGCAGAGAAAAGAGAGAGAAATGGCAGCTGGCACATACAACGGTAAGACAAAAAACTATGTGTCACACCACAAACAGAATCCTTTGTTTCTCAGACTTTTTCAAATGAAAGGACCTTTAAGCCTGTGTTATGTATTATAATTGTAATATTAGCCGTCTTTTAGCATCACTGGTAATGTCTGAAATTGTCAGTAGTCATTTTGAATATTGCACATCATCTACTCCCAGAGGTTTGGAATCTCAGTTTTCTTGTTTGTTGTTGTTGACAGCGCGAGCAAACAACTGGCCGCCTCTGCCGTCCTGGTGTCCAGTAGGGCCGTGTTTCTACCAGGACATCTCTGTAGATATTCCTCTAGAGTTCCAGCGCACTGTCAAAATGATGTACTACTTGTGGATGTGTGAGTACATCTCTGTCTTCACTGGGCAGAGTATAGAAAAGTGGCCTAATCATTTAATACATATAATACATATCATACATACATGTTTGCATTATATAGCATTTTGATGCATTTTTGATTATGAATTGAGATTGTGTTTGTTAATGAAGATATTTGTATTCATAACAAAGTTTCACGTGACATCCTTATGATATGCAGTGTGTAGCCATGTTGAACATGATGTCTTTGTGAACATGCATGAGAGATACTGACTTTAGTGCATGAATTTGACTTTACATACATATACTCCATTTTCATGTCTTTTTTGTCATTCCTTAAAATTTGTAATATTCATTTTTACCATTCAAACCATCACATGCATGTTTGACCATGTTATTAAATTATAATATTTCCTCCCACAGGTTTGCAGTCAATAGTTTAGTGACTGGTTAAACTGATTCATATGGAATGCATGTTGTGCATTTGCTACATGTAGTTCTGGTAGATAGTCTTCACAACAGTCTTACATCTTATACAACACATAACTTAACCTTGACTGTGACATAAGCCTTGCAAATCTATCTTCAGCTTGCAGTGGTCTTCCCCAAATGTGAAGACAATATTGTAGACTGGTTTATTACCGGTATTCATTTCACAATTTCAAAATGGCTACAACATATTGGTTAACTCAAATCTTTAAGATTTCTAGGGCATACAGAAATGTGCTGAAGATGATGTATTCATAATCAAATAGAGAATCTTAACATTTGGGAAGAACAATGCAGGGCAATAATGAATCATGTAATTTTCAGAAGACTTGAGTTGCTTGCTTGATATTTGGCCTGTCATGTTGTATTTCTACATGCCTCTGTACCAACACATGAGTAAGGCTCAATGGCCTCATGACACATTCAGACTTTATACACTGTATTTGTAAAGTCAAATTTTCTTACAAGCAAGTGTTGATCTGAAAGAAAAGGTTGCACCTCTACTTCCCTAACCATCATTACTGTTCAATATTTGTATACTAGTAGAGGTTCAATGTGTTCTAGCAAGCGTCTGAAGCCTTTACTGATATAATGCACCAATCAGTATAAGAAGGTTCTTTAATCAACAACCAGTTGGTTTTCCAACATTGATAAGACCCTTCTTATACAGTCTTTTGCCAACCTGATGAAATGATACATGAATACACCAATCAATCTCCGATCCGATGTCACGTTTTCCTCCACAGTCCATGCGGTGACGTTGTTCCTAAACGTGCTGGGGGCGCTGGCGTATTTCTGCACAACAGGAACCAGTTCCGCTGGCATCACCTTTGGTTTAGCCATTTTCTACCTGATTCTCTTCACCCCTTGTTCCTTCCTTTGCTGGTACCGGCCACTCTACAAGGCCTTCAGGTAATCATGACAACCCACACGATGGTGATGATGGACTCTGACAGTCGTGATGTTTTCTACTGGCTTGTCAAAACTGAGTGGATGGACTTGTTTGGCCTATCATAATCACCCTTAAAACTTTAGAATTTGTTCAATAAAACGACAAAAATTAATGTTACGTTCCATTTCTGAAGTATTGCTTCAGTAGCCTCCGCCAGTAGGTAAAATTTAGAGAAAGTTTATTGTCTCTCTTACAAGCCTCTTGAAGCATCTTGTTAAGCTCCATTTTTTTGCAACTAGCTCCTTGCTTCTTAGCAGAGTTTAACTGAAACTTTAAAGTGTTTAGGGCTATTGTAGGTGCCAGACTAGATCGTATAGAAGTCAGCTTTACTTAAAATTGTCTTCAAATGCAACAAATCATTCCACCAGAAGTAATCAGAAAAAAAATGTCAGACAAGAATCAAATGTTTCAAACTCAACATAATTCAAACAGTTTTGAACAAGCTGGTGGAACATCCCATGTTTAACTTGTCTTTTTTCAGGGACAGGTCTTGTAACATCTGATTAGTCGTATGGGTACCACTTACCTGCATGTAGCTAGACTAACAGTACAAAGTTGACCAAGCAGAAGATACACTCAAGCAATAAGTAAGAATAAACTCAACTTTTTCCCCCGAATAGGTCCTTTCAGGCAAGAGACATAAATAACCCAAAAATTGACCTGAAGATGACCTCATCACCTAAATCAATACAACCCTTGATTAGTAGCTTTGATTAGTACATCATCTATCAGTTGATTGAGTGAAAAAAGAATCAACAGCAATCAGCAGAAGCAACAATAGATGGGACGAAAGTTGATAGGAAGTGAACTGAAGTGAACATCAGTGTTTCCTCCCTGCTCTGCCTAGTCCACGTGGTCACTTTACTTCTCAACGTACTCATGATGGTGGCCTATGTGGCGGCAGTCGGGGTGGACCTCACGGCGGGAATTGGCCTGGGGATGGCCATCCTCTTTACGCTACTCTTCCCGGCTTGTTCCTTTTGTTGCTGGTTTCGTCCGCTTTACAAGGCCTTCAGGTATCCGGGGAGTCTCACCTAAATCGGATGAGAGTCGATGAATCAGAACTAT